TACTGTAGAGAGTCTGTGGAATATGTGCATCAATAGCCAGTCTCATCATTTACATTTTACAGACCACTTTGATAATCATCCCACCCTAAATCTCTAATGGTCAAATCTCAGTAATTTACAGCTATATTCACATATTACGGTAGCATCTTTTGGGAGAAGTATTGAAGACTTTTTTTAGGTAATATCTCATAGGTGGTAAGGTGCAAGAGAAATCATTCTTCACTGTTTTACAAGTTGGAAGCATGGCTTTTGACAATGTGGCAAGTCTTTGCTTTTGTAATTTTTTCCACTGTATAAAAACAAACTTTTCACTTTATGGTGTTGACCCGTAATGCAAAGTACAAAAAATGTATTGATTATACACAACAGTTTGACATTATACACATTTTTACTAATAAGGGCTTGTCAGGAAAATAGAAAGCAGGATATAACATAAACTACAATAAATTATGTCAAAGAATTTCCAGAAATTAGAAGAATATGACCATCTCTTCCTATCTCACTTCCTACAGTATATAACCTGAATGCCTAAAAAGTTAAGAAAGAAAGTCTTTAGTCTAAGGTTTCCATAATGGAGGAAATCAGAATTTCCTGAAGCTCTCTTGTTCTGACATGTCACCTGGTTCTTTTTCTTCTTCTTTCCATTTCCCTGGTGCTTCTCTTTCTCCTTTCCTGTCTTGTCCTCTCTCCTCTACTTCGCCTGTATCTTCTCATGCTGTCTTTCTGTGTGTTGAAAGTTTATTCTTTATCACAACTAACCAAACTAATTCACCACCACATTTCCTTTGATGTTATCTCTCAGCCCACCTGCGGCTCAGTTAACATCTAGGCTTCTACTCATTTTCTTTTTACCTTTTTATGGCCTCTTACTGTAAGTCATAACAACACGGATACACCATTTTTGGCTGTCATATCAAACCATGTGGGCCATAGAAGTCCAACCTGTGGTCTTTATCCTACAGTTCTGCAGAAGTATGATGGAACATACTTTTTAAGAACAATGAAAATGTATCAATCTTGCTTGTAACTAAAATCTTTAATAATTACTTAAATAATGCATTGTAATAAACTGAAAAGGTCTAAAATCTAAAACTGTGTAACAAAAATGCCTACAGAACACATCAATCCTAATTATGAAATTTGAAATTTGAGTAATATGGATATCTTTACAAAACCATTTGGTGCTGTAAATATAAAGAAAGCAAAAAGAGCTGTCTGTCCAGCTTTATAGCTGATTATAAGTGATTTTTCATACAATGAAAGCCACTTGCTCACAGGTGATATGCTCTAGTACTTCCCAAAAACATAGCTTAAAAGAAGCCCTCAGAATTTGTGATTTGGAAAGCTAGGTAACTAAAAACACAGAAGTTCTGTAAATCTTCATACTGAAGCCTTTTCAACACAGTAGGCTGAAACATTTGACATTGCATTTTTTACTTCTTAAATCCACAAAACTTGTATAAAACACAATCAGTTTAGGCACGGTTTACTTAACTCCCAATGTTAATCATATAAAAACAAACAGCAGTTTAATTGCAGCATTTTTTATGATCACACTAAATCAACTCAAGGGCTGTCAAGATCAGGGGTTTTCAATCCTGTTCCTGGAGGAGAGCTGTGTTTTTTGTTTTTTTGATCCAGTCTAGTTCTTAAACACAGGCTATTTGATTTCAATTTTACTGTTTGATGCCTTTTTTTAACAAATTTGTGAATGACATTAATGACATTTGAATCTGGCACCCACAATTAAAATTCACAACTGCTCCCATGTAAAAGGAAATGTGAACAACTGGACATCAGCAGCAAAAAAAAAGTATCCATTCACTGTGGGAGCACTGCATACAGTGCATTATTATTCCCACACGTTTATCATAAATCAGTTATGGGTTAAGGGATTATTAGTCAGAAATAAAGGGCAATGATGAATTGGCAAATTAAAGAAAGAGTACGTAACGTTTCTGTGTACGGAAGTTTTGTGTTCTGTAATTACTCCAGCTAGGATATTTTGAAATCAAGACCCGAGTGCAGAAGTACAGTAGTCTAAACAAGCAAGCTAAGCAAGTTACAAACATCATATGACACCAATGATTAAGGGCCCAGCTGGAACAAAAAACAGCCAGCAGGGAGGTACAGTACTCTGGGGCAAGGAGTCAGAATCACTGGTCTAGACACACAGGCTTACAGCACCATTACATTTATTTCTGGATTTGATTAATTTTATCAAATAAAACACAAAGCACTTCTAAACCTTTAGTAAGCAAGAAAATCATGATTGATTCTGAACGTAAGGAAAGTTGGAGATTGTATAAATAACCCTGCAGTAAATATAAAGTCCCACTTGAACTCTACGCTCTTCTAATAGCTTGTGGAGGAAACTGTCTACTGCGTACTGTTCACTTTGCGTAACCTTGCGTAAGGTGTACCTGTATTTCTGTTTGCCAAAGTTTTCCTTTAATAGGCGCAGATTCAGTGACCACAAAACACGGTCCTGGGGGACCCCTTGTCCTATGGCTTTTGATCCCTTTGCCTGTGGTAACAAGCAAAGTTCTTAAAGGGGGACTGCAATGCTAGTTTTCTATTTCAGGGTTAGAAAGAATCAGCATTGTTGAGTAATTTTCAAACCATTATAAAAGTAAACTATACACAGTAACTTGTAAAACCTCCAATTTACATCACAAAATAGACAAAATTTCCAGGTATGCACAGCACCATATTCTACGAGGCAACAAAACATCCGGTGACATGATGCAGCCCTGTTGCATTGTAAAGAAGCGGGCTTGTGAAATCATCTCTTTTAATCCAATAGAAATATTGCTCTCGACTTGCAGACAGTTTTACTGAAAAATACTACTTATTTGTTAACTCTGCATGCAGAGTATGTTGGAACATTTCTGCAGTGAAATATCTGCTGCACAAACTGTATTTATTTGTTTATCACATGACAGTACACATTACATTAATCATTATGGTGACTAGTGAAGGGCTGGTTCATGTCACAAGTCATGCAAACTCTTGATCTCGCCCATGGAGAAAACAGGGGTTTGCAAATACATGGAGACTTTCAGTACTTTCACAAAATTTACATCAATTTATTTTGTTCCAGAGATTTTATAACTGTCTGAGAAACTGGGACTGCTGTTCCTCTTTAACATCTGTAAAAATTGTGTATTAAGTAAAATATAGGTGTATTGTTTTTTGCTTTCAGCTCCTACAACATTGATTGAGGTGTCTTTCTGACATTGAGAACTTCCTTAATTCAGGTGTACTACCTGGGAGATAAGCACCTGGGCCTCTAGAGAAGAAAAAAACTCTAATTGTGGTTGGTATGATACTGTGTATTGTCATTCTCGCCTGTGTCTTTTCATCGTAAATTGATCATCTGTTTGGGCAATATTAAAAAGCAAACTCTTAAAAGCAAGTTAAGGAAAGACTGCTTAAAATTCTTTATGATAAAGATGTAGAAATCTATGCTAGAATCTGAGTATGTTTGCAACCAATTAAAGAGTGCAGGAACAGCTCAACAAGCAAGACGGCATCAATTAACACTGGCAACTTGAGTTCAACTAGCATGCAAACCAGAAGGCACACAGTTTCTCAACACCAGGAAAGGGAAAGACCTGCTCTAAATCAAAATCCATCCAGGATTGCAGGACCTAAACCCCAGTGCGCAAGGTGCAGAAAACATCAGGACAACATGTCATTTCAAGCCCACTATGATCAAAAATAATTTCATGATCTGTCCGAATTTTACGAGATATATGCCTATCAGTTACTGTATAATTCCTTTTTGCACCACTTATGACTGAAACTGCTTTGCATTTTATAATGTCATGGCACAGGGGCTGGGGTATCTGTGGCAAAGGGCTTTTCAGTCCAAGAATATCAGGAGGGGAAAGCCTGTTCATCCTTAAGCAGCTTGTTCGGATAAAAGTGCCTTTTTATCGCTTTCTGCAATTTGTAAAAAATAACTCGTGTGCGCGGAATAAACAATAATATACTGTAATAAACAATTTTCTTTAGAGGTTAACCTACAGCACGAAGTCCACCCAAGTATCCGTAAACTCGCAGTTGAGGCTTTCCTGGACACTTAAAAAATAGAGCAGACAATCATTTACAACGAAGACGCACCTGAAAGAATTATATTAAAGTATCGCGTTCTGTTGAAAAGTTAAAATGATCCGTGTTGAAGAAGACTCGAAAGTTAATCTAACGCATTACACGATGGTATAACGAAAGCAATTGTGTACTACTCAAGGTTCTAGTCACATTATTTTAACTTATTTATACATTATTTAATCAAGAAAACAGATTTTCTCGTCATACAAATATGCGTGCGACTTTCAATTCATCTGCATCAATCTCTTTATTCCGTAATACACAATGCGCTTCGGTTTGGTATAATCGGTTAAAATTACCCCCATGAGAATAGCCTACGGTAAATGTAAATTTCATTAACGCGAACCTTTTCTGAGCTGGTTTGTCGTTTGTCACTCTAACAAACCGCAGCATAAAGGCTAACAGAGCTGTCGCTAAAAACACCTTTATGATTTTCATACTTAAACACTTAAGGGATCAGATTGCACTGTTACAGTCAAGAAGAGCTTTTCACCGTGGATTCTTTGATAATTGCATTTACAATGCTATTCAAACCACTGCAGGCGCATGAAATGCATGGATTTCTTTAGCAAACAGCGACAACCTTTAGAATGTCACTAGGTGAAAAGAGTACGGTATCTAAAATATACCATACCCTACCTCAGTAATCCTATACAAAACAAACTAGTATATTAACCATAAGCTTTCACCAAATTATTTGGATAAAGTAATCACAATAATGTACATTAACACTATGTACTGTACTTGTTGGATATACAGTACTGTATAAAACGGGACATTTTCATTCAGGAAACCTTTCCGATTTGCAATATAGGGAATACTGACGAATCACAGCACATACTGTAGTTACCGCTTACATACTGAGGTTTCTGTAAAAGTCTTACCTCGAAGAGAGGTCCAATTTTATTCTTTTCCAGGTAAGCTTGAATTCTTGATTGCTGATGAGACGCCATACAGGAAAAGTAGGATATCTTGTAATTGCTGTTTAACTACACTTTGCCAAAAAAGGACTTAGCCGAATGTAATTTTATACATGCGTCTTTAGGGTTTTAAAAACAGACAGGCCAGTAGAATTCAGTCTTAAAAATAAGGCGTAACCAGGAAGGCTCGAAACATCGAAAACGGAGGTGTCAGGAGCTTCGAGTTTGTTTAAGTGAAGTACACATTGTATAAAGTGGAGCGCAGTGAGTGCTGCTCTTGGTTACTGTACCACGGGCATTTCTGTCTTTGCTATTGAAACGCTACTCCCTAGCGACGGCTTCGCTCTTGAAGCCAATGGTAAAGATGGTTATTCGACAGTGAATAGAAATCTCCTGCTTGTTGGCCGTTAGTAGAGACAGCAACAGGGAAAAGGAACTCCTCCTCTTTTCCTCGTTTACTGATAAAGCCACTTTGTAACTATAGTGATTCGGTAATTCGAACTGTGCATGATAAGAGCTCTCACAAGTTTGATTAGCTGTGCACCTCTAACATTATTAAATAATCATTTTCTCCATCGGAATCCATTTGGTAGTAGCTGCTGCTGTTTGGCTTTTAATCACAAAAATACAGTTAATTTCAAAAGCAGGAGAAAAGAGTGTATTTAAAACATCATATTGTAGGTATTGATAAAAAAAATGCGTTTGTGTGTTCTCGGGTACAGTAGTTAGCAAGGAAATTCCTTTTTCTGCTGACAAACGAGGTTCCGTCTTGCTGAATTCTTTGTCAGTGGCGTTTTTTCTACATAAGAATGTGCCCTTATTGAACCTCCAAACAAGCTGAGTGTTAGTCACGAGCTAGCTCAAATTGTTTACAAAGCAACATTTCTTATCGCACGGAAAAAAATATCTGCCGCAGTCCTTTTTTCTACAGGACAAAAATTATGATGATGCAGCTCAGCAACCTTTTCAGCAGACATTCAGAACTGCTAACGGTAGAACTGCTTAAATGTTTTTAAACAAACATCCCACTTTGGAAATGTGAAAAGTATTTGTAAATCTACTGCCAGCTGCCGGGTGCTAATGTTATTGGACCTGAATGTGCTTAATATAAAATTTTGAATGAGGTCGTGGAAGCACCTGTATACAGTATGTTACCCAAATACAAAACAAAATCCAGCAATAATATAATGATGTATCAAAACATTTTATTAACATTTTAAAAAATAAAACATGATTTTGTTGCCACTACACAACAGGAATAAGCCCTCTTTTTAGCAATTGCAGATTCACACAATCTAAGCATTCTGTTACACAATGTCTACAATGTTTCAGCTTCTACATTCCATCCTAAAAATTTCTGAATTTCTTATGTGACCCTTAACACAGGTAAAGAGTAAATGAGAAAGAACATCAGGTTTCAAAACAGACAAGCTGATGGAACATTCTTTAATCCCGTTGAAGAGATACTGTACATGGCGCCATTGGCAGAATCAATTATTTTTGGAGAAAGTAAGGATGCAGTGAACACAAATAAAAGTGCACATTCCAATATTTACTGTATGTACAGTAGTATACATCTTAGATCTAGTGTTCCCAATTCACGTCCTTTAGACTCCACGTGGTTTCATTCCTTTTCTACTCTCAGTCTTGTAATTGAACTAATGGCAATGCTTTAATTGATTTAAACATGTAAGTTATTAGCTGTTAAAGACATATAACTATAACATTTAGTTTAGAAATTTCTTCCTTTTGCAACACAAAAGAAAGAAATTGTGATGATGAGAAAACTGTGCAGGAAAAAGACAGCAAAAGTCTTCTTTTATAGTTTTTCAAAGAAAATACATATGTTCTTCTTAGAAGTAGTTTTAACTAGAGTATATGTAAGATTTATCCTTGGATACAAAAGGGAGGTTTTATGCTAGTGTGGCAGAGAAAGATGTAGTCTTCTACCCCCAGTATATCAAACAAGGTTGTTAGTGGCAGTGAAAAGGAATTGCTGGTGATCGTTTACAGTAATATCATCAGAGACAGCCATCAGACTATGATGATGGTTGTACAATAGCATAAATAATTTTCTGTTGTGAATACATGTACTTTTGTAACATTTCTCTGGGTGTGGTCCCTACACTTTTAAAGACCGCATCAATTATTTGAATATTAAAGTACCTTGGATTGGCTTTGATTGTGATATAATGAACTACTGACCAATTTCTAATTTATCATTCATATCCTTATTCCCTATTCCTATTCCTATGGCTCACATGATAATAGCTCATTTTTCTGTTTGACTATTGCAGTCCATTTTTCTCAATAACCATAGCACTGACACTGCTCTTGTGAGGGTTGTGAATGATTTTCTTGTTGCCTCTGACTTGGGGACTATAAGTATTTCTATGCTCCTTGATCTTATTGCAGCTTTTGATACAGTACTGTATGTCTTTCAATGTTGCTCTAATGCTTGCAGACATTCTTGTCTATCTATAGGACTGTATTTACAGTAACTACTTCCACCTACAATATATCTGATTGGCAGGTAGCATCTTGTTTTCCTTGGTCCTCATAAATCCCTCATAACCCCAGTCAATCATGGTGTGCCTCAAAGTTCAGTTCTGGGCCCACTGCTTTTTATTATTTATATGCCTCCTCTTGGTCCTATTAGATGCAAAGACGGTATTTAAGTTTTCATTTTTATGCCGATTTTACTCAGATGTATATTAAAACCTCTTCCCCCTCTGATCTCCATTGTTTGTCTCTTGCCTGTGTAACTGAAAAAAAAGTTCCATATGAGATAATAAGTTATATGTTATGGTTTATGTAATGACATTAATATATTTATATGTACAGTATATTATGATATATATTTGCCTATGTATAAAAATAAATACCTGTATATTTTTAGAGTGTAACCTGAATAAGAATATCACACATTCTGTCACCATGTTCTCACTTTACACTTTTTTTATTAATGTCAAATCACATTAAATATAACTGGACAAACTCAATTTTATTCAGTATTATAACATGATCATTAGCATGTACATCCACATATCCATTGCTCTGGTGTCCAGAGTCTGATTGGATCATGTGTAATATTTGCGTAGTATCAGTGAATCGCTGTGTGGACTTCGTGGACTCCACAACAAACTGTTTGATGTTCCAGGAAACTGAAGGAGCGCATCTTGATTAAAAATGAAAAAAGAATCAATGAATTTCAGTCTTTAATGAAAAGTGACCAGCTTAGCCTAAGTAAATTATGCAGTGATAAGAGGAGACTAATGGCCCTTAGGATACAGTACACTTAAATGACACAACTAGTATATACTGTATATATTGACGCATTACCATAGAAGAAGAGTATCAGTCTATTCTCGCTATCCTACTTAAGCACTTCTAAAGGAAGGTTTTGTAATCCTGTCTAAACAAACTATTTCATGTTGAGAACTACTTCACAGAGAGAATCATTCTTGCAGCGATTCCTGTGGTTCTCAGAATGAGCCCAGCTTGTTTGTGTTTTTCCTATTCTGGCGTTACCTACTGACAACAAAGGAGGGAGGCACAAAAAAGCCAAAGGAAACAAGTTTGGGGTTATGCTTCTATGTTATCAACTGTGAAATGTTGGTCTCTTCCCACATCATTTCATTTTACGCATGTAATAGTCAGGATAATGGTTAAATCAATAACAAATTTAATTTTTGTATTTTGTCAATGGGATTAAAAAGTAACATAAAATCTATCTCTATAAAAGAACTGTCGTATTTAGAATCCTTCTTTGTATAATTTTGCAAATCAATCCAGAATGCTTTAACAACAGGACATAACCAAAACTCAGGTTGTAAAGTTTCTGAGCTGCTTTCACAGTTATCATCTACAGTATATTAATTTTGAATCTATGTACAATAAGGGTCTCCACAGAGGAAATTCAATGAACAATTTTGTACAACCACCCTTAACCATATTGGTTATACAATATTTACTCGACATCATCCATATTTTATTGCAATCATTTTGTCTCCCAAGCAAGGTGTTCCAAAGTAATTTGAATGACAAAATATTGCTAGCTGGCAAAAGTGATCTTAAATAATTATTGCCTACATTGTTTTATTAGTCAAATTACCTTATTTTCATTCACTCTTGACAGCCAATCAGTTAATTAATTAATATAGTTCAGGTGGGTAGCCGCGTCAGCATGCATAGTCTGCAAAGGAAGAAGTAATAGGTTTATTCCATGCTGAAAAGAGAAGAAAGAAAACACAACGTTTCAGCTGTGGAGCCTTCTTCAGGTGTGTGAATGTAATTAGATCTTCATGGAAGTTTCAATAAAGGATGGAGATGGAGATGGAGATAACCTTGTCTAACTATTACTATTGGATAACGATTGTCTTGTAATTCAACAGCTCTTGGACATATACTGTAAAAGTAAAAAGAACTGTTGAATTGAGAGTATTCTTAGTGTAATAAAACTGTAGGTTTAAACTTTGCTTTTTTGTGGGTTTGACTTCAAATGATAAGTGATTGAGTGTAAAGATAGATTACATCTGAATAATGTTGGATTTTTTAGAAATCTTCCTCATACTGATGAAAGTGAAAAGTTCTGAATGCACTATTAATTTCTCTTCTCTGAGAAAGTGAATTGAAGTGTGCTTGACAGAGAATCTTATATGTATTTTTATGCTTAAATAGTCATGTAAGATTTAGAATTATGGTACACAATGATAGTACAGGCCAAAAATAAGATTTTTTTTCTAAGGTCAAATTTAATTCAGTTTTACAGCATTAAAAGATCTATATCATATATGCAGTCCTGTTCATTTTTGATTTTCACAACAGGGTTCTGGTCCTCCACAAACATGCGATCACTTAATTTATTTATTAAAGGGCTCAAAACCCTAAATAAAGTATTGTCAGATTGGCTCTGCTTATACTTGACTGAGAAGAGCAGTCCGTGACAGTCAGGTGAACCTACAGGTAGGTGCAAGATGAAGCAAGCAGGCAGGCAAGCCAAATTCAAAAGGCAAAGTCGAAAACACAAAGTTCGAGGGTGGAAAAAGGCGTGTAGAGCACTGGGAAGACAGGAACGAATGCCGAGACTAGAGGGAAAACTCTCTAAGGCACAGCAAAATTGAGTGGTAAATATCCAGTCTTCAGTATCCTTTGAGAATGAGGTACTGTAATTGCTTGTTAATCACAGGCAGGAGGGACTGATTTTCTACCGGATCCCTTTGTCATGGTAATGGCCTGATGGGGGGTTGAAGTTGCAGTTACACTAGTAGCCTGGATACCCCTAAGCATCTTCCGATGGTTAAATGTATAATTAAAAACTAAATAAAAATAACCAGCCAGCAGCCATATCACCCTGCAACTCACAACTGGCAACACACTGAAGCTCAGCAGGGTTGA